TCTAGTGGCCATAAATAAACAATGCACATTAACACCACTAATTCATCAGGACAGCTAAAGACTCAACACTGTACAGAAAGTTACTTCCAACTTTCTACTGCGTGTCTTTCATATTAAAAGCTCACTGCGAATGAATGTCTGTAAGGTTTTAATGTGAAAATATCAGAGCAAGTTTGAACAGCCTTACCAATATAAACACTGCAAATAAACATAAGCTACAAGAAAATATAGACTCAGTGTGTCTGATTTGTGCTTTTGTAAGTAGTAGTTTAAAAAACGGTCAAAGTCAATATTTTATATCAGCTTGTAATGGGTATAATAATGTTATGGTCCATAGGCAGGACTTTGTTTTTCATTTCATAGACTGAAATGTGGGCTCAACATGTTTAAAATGATAAAGATCTACAGAAGCAAATCCGAGACTCCAGTTTTTCATCATTCAGTGCTGCAGTTTGTTTTTCACTCGGTGTTGCCAGCAGCAGAGTTCAGTTGGCGGATTATGGGAACCGAATAATTAGATTTCCAGTTAAATTAGACATGTACAAACATGATCATCAGCTGCAAACATCCTTAAATTTTACCTCTAGGGAAGATGAAGTTAGCATGAATCTGAGAAACAATGAAACTCTTCTCAACAAAATTAAAGATTCGATTAGTTTTATTTAGTTTGTTTTGTTTTTGTCACCTTGTCAGGCTTAAGCTGGCATTGTATTCACATTATTAAACTCTTGAGATCACAAACTCATGAGAAACGTTACTAAAATGAAACACTTCTTTCAAATTGTACAAATAAGGTGGACAACAAACTACAAATTGATTTTCAGTCAAATCTTCTCTGATGTCCAACTGTTACAACCAGACTTGACGTGACGCTGGCTGTCTCTTTATACCTAATATTAGTGTTCGTTAGATACATAAAAAAAAAAACAGCAGCTGTTGATTAAATTTATACCTGTGCACGATGCAAATATGTCTTTATATTTTTAACATGTTGCATTTTAATATTTCTGGATGGCATTGTCTTTGCCTCCAGTAACACTGTGAGAAATCTTGGAGTCATGTTTGACCAGGATACGTCTTTCAATAAACATTTTAAACCAATACGTAGAGCAGCTTTCTGTCATTTGATTGGTATCTCTAAAATTATAAAAATCTATTTTCAAACTGACTCTTAGCTTAGACTTACAACTTTCCTTTTTGATAATGCATCTAAGTTAATGCTGGATCAGGTGACCCTGACTCCTCCCTTAGTAACATGCCTTGGCTGCTCGGGGATTCCCGTGATGGTTTCAGTTTATTTTTCAGTCATTTGTTTCACTTCTCATGTGTTTACACACAGTGGCGGTCCTAGCCTGTTTGGCGCCCTGGGCGAACTTTTCTTGACCATCTTCCATTGGTTTTAATTTTGCACTCCAGTATGAACACCCATCTCAACCCGAGGATCACCACAACATGATCTAACAGATCTACACCTTAGTTCACAGATTCACTTTGTCTAAGGTTTATTTCTGGGATTTCAAACAACCCAGGATTCAAATCATGAATACATAATGGGCTTGAATTTACATCATTATGAATGAAATGCGCTCTATTTGGAAGCAGCAGGGGCCTTTTGACGGGTTGTGTGTGAGACTTTTAATCATCAAACTGTAAGCATGAGCATTTTTTTTTTTTTGCCGATGCCCGTGATGCCGCCCCCCACCACGATGCCGCCCCGGGCAACCGCCCGTGTCGCCCGTATCTAAAACCGCTACTGTTTACACACTCCTACAGTAAGTGTAACACACACAGATTCGAGGTCTGAACATCTGTCTCAGCTGTGGGAAAAATATGACAACCGATAAAATTGTAAATGGGAAGGAACAGCAGTTGTCCTCAACTAACCAGTCTGTTAGTAGGTCAGCAATCACCCCGGCCTCAGCAAGCCAATTCTCCCTTTAGGCTGTTGTATACAGTAGGCCCAGCCTGCACAGACAAAACATCACCTGAGTAGTATCTTAATAATGCAGAGAGCAGCAAACTGTTCATCATACACATTTATAATCTAAGCCATCATGAGCCTGGCCATATGTCACACCTGCACACAGAGACACACAGCAGGGTTTACAGTGCGGGCTGCAGTGACTGTTATCTGCCAACATCCCTCACTACACAGCCTTGTGCTGTTGGAGGCTTCTTGCTGTTAAAAGGGGGATTTTATTGTCGTTACTAAATGTTTGCTCACAGTGTGAGAGGTGGGACTGATTTGCTGCTATTTGATTGATATTTGATAAACATTAACTGAAATGAACACAAACCCTAACTTCCCCTCAGGGACTTCTGAGAAACTGACTCATCCATAAACTTGGATTTCAGTCATGTAAAGACTTGTTTTTCTTTACTTTGGAATGAATCCCAGCTGCAGCTCTCACTCTGATCACAGCTGCTCCATCAGAGTTGAAGGACAAAGGAAAACGAACACATTGTAAGGTACTTTAGATGAACTTATCATCTTATAGTGAGAGATGAATCAAACTAATGTACAATGAATAATCTGCACTGAGACAATTTAAGATTGTTTAAGATTTGAGTCCAAGGCTGAAATCAAATAGTCAGAACATTCCCTGCTCTGTCTTTTCATCACTCGGTGGACATCCATGGAAAACACGATGAGTTGAAGGAAAAGTTCCCACAGTGTTCCTTCATACAGGTCATGTAAACATGTATGAATATCTAACACATTATTACCAGGGTTAAAAAATACACAGTGATATTTCTCATTCAGTTGATCCTTTAAAATCTTTTTATTTTTACAAAGCCAACGTTGCAAAGTGCGTCACAGAGGAAAGAACTTAATGTGAAGAAGGTTTCCAGGTTTCCAGGTTTCCGTCTGGACAGCGAGTGAAGAGGGGCTTTCACCCACCACAGACGTGCTCGTGTGTCACTGGAAGATGACGACCTATGAACCTGTCAAAGGCTGATCGTTTAACAAGTGGTCCAGATCAAGGTAAGAAAGCAACACTGAATTGAACAGTTGAAAAGAAAAACCACAATAAAAAAATATTTAAGAACACTGGATGAAATTTAGCTTAACACTCAGTTTCACTTCAGTGTTTGTGCTTCACTTTCAGGCTTACTTGTGGTTCCTAAAGTATTTAAGAGTTTAGTGGGACAGTGTCACCAAATGGTGGCTCTGATTGTTGGTGTTGTCTCCGCATTATTGTAATGTCCTTACTTTACTTCATAAAGAACTTTGAGCCAACTGTTTGATTTGATGCTAAATAAAACTGAATTGAACTCAATTGAGTGATGGCCCAAAGACTGCACAAAAAACAGTGGCACGGTCAGATGTACCACATCCACCAACTACACATGTATCCATGCAGGCAGCATCCTTCAAGTTGATTTCAAAGAAGTATAAAGTATAATTTATGGTCAACAAATGTGTAAAATAGTAAATAATCTGATTCTTGTAAAGTCTGTTTCTGCTCTCCTGCAGCACTCAAAGCACTTTACGCATTCATACAAGTCCTTTTTCTTCTATAACAAGTGCTTTCTGTCTAATATTCATAAATTCATACTCCAGTGGATGCATCAGAGACCAACTTGGTGTTAATATCTTGCCCAAAGATATTTGACATGCAGACTGGGGTTCAGCCATCAACCTTCCAATCAGTCGGTGACCTGCTCTACCTCCTGAGCTACAGCCACCCCAAATGTACATCCTCACGCTTGTTTCCATTCGGACAGCAAGCAAAAGGGAGGGGCTGTTCTCTCCCACTGGATACTTGCTTCCTCACAGTCCTACAAAATACTGTCTCCTAACTTTGTGGAAGTAAATGCTGTATATGTCTGAGGGATGCTAGAATGGGGACAGTATCAGGATATGTGACCACTGTAGCCACTGTCTGTGTTTTAGCGTAAGAGTGGATTTCACTGTTGTGACAAAACAGACAATAGCTGCAGTGAGCTTTTTACTTTGTTTTCAATTCTCTGGCCCTCTCACTGCTACCCACACTGAACTG